GCTGTAACTTTTGAGTTGGCTGGAGGATGCCAGGAGTTTTCTGCCTGGGCTGCTGCGCTAGAGCTGCGCAGGGCAGACACCTCACGACCCCACTTTTCCGAGGGTGAAAGCGGGTGGCGCTGTCAGCTCCCAGGTGTCTTTGCTAAGGGACTGGGCAGATCGACACCTATCCCTTGGGCTGTCGTTTGCAATCATTGCCCAGATAAGGACCCAGCCTAAATTTTACAAGCACAGCAGTGGAGGGGAAAAACGTGGCCCAAAGAGCTTCCGGTCTAAAGAGACAAGAGAGACAAAAGTAAGGGTGATAATCCCCATTTTACAGATGAGAAACTGAGGCGTGGAGGCCAGTTAATGACTTGCCTGAGATCACACAATATGCCTGAGTTCCTACCCTGTGCCTTAGCAGCAAAATCATCTTCCCCCCTTCTAAAACTCAGACTCATGAGTGTCTTTGACTCTTTGCAGAAGTCACCAAACAACCTTCAAATAAAGGGAGGAATTGCTGGCTCTGGGTTAGATCATGCAGCTGACAGGAGACTTGGAAACTAGATTCATATCTGCCACTGGTTTAGTGAAAAGCTGTTCAAATAGCTAACTTCTGTGACTCAGTTTCCCCATCAGTAAGATGGATGTAAATAGGCCAGAGTTTTCAAAAGTGGGTGTCTAAAATTCAATACCTAAATCAGTGACCTCACTGTCAGAGGTTTCTAGGGGCTGTGAGTAGTCCTCTTGACTTCCATTGGCTTTGTATTAGGCCCAAATCTGGTCCCTAATTTAGGAACCTAATATGGATTTAAGTATCTAATTTCAGACACCTGCACATAAAAATCTTACCCAGCAATGCTTACCCATATTAAAAAGGCATGTTGAGATCTTTACATGAAATGTGCTATGTAAATGAAAAATCTTATTAATTACTACAGTAATACAACTAATTAGATGCAAAGTATTATTAATCATTACAAACATGGACTGGAATTCAGCCAACAATTTAGGGGTAAAAGTCACTCTAGTTCATATTGCCAATCTCATGAGCTATCCAACTCCCCCTGAAAATGCAGCAAAATCAATAACTATCCCATTTAATACTACCATTGTCTGCTTCCTCTGCTATTCACATGTATGATACTTGCCTTTTTTAATACAGTAAGTGACAAAGTTCACCCATCAGAAAATAAGAGGGGTAAAACTCAAAATGCAGAGAGATTATCTTGTTTTCATAAACTTAATGTCAAGATTAGAAAACAATAATTTACAAATATCAAGAATAGTGATAGAGATGCAGCCGTGTTAGTCTGGTCTAACTGAAACAAAAAACAGGACTATGTAGCACTTTAAAGACTAACAAGATGGTTTATTAGGTGATGAACTTTCGTGGGGTCATGCCAGTTTTCTTCCACTATTTGAGCTGAGGAAGTGGGTCTGGCCCACGAAAGCTCATCACCTAATAAACCATCTTGTTAGTCTTTAAAGTGCTACATAGTCCTGTTTTTTGTTACAAATATCAACAGTGAGATAACACCAGGATTGCAAAGAGCAGCTGTGGATTCATTTGGGTTAGAACTGAAATGTATCTCATAATGAGAGACAGCCAGGAGAGGTAGTGCACTAACAATGATTTAAAATCTGTATCAATCTAGATTATAGTCTCAGAAAACAATATGGTAATAAACTGGCTAGTGTGTATATGTAATACTACCCTCTACTGGATGGAATAAAATCTGCTTGACTGTGTGTCATAGGCCTCACTGTATTAAAAGCTCTGCTTTAGCTCCAGGGGCAGCAGTGTTCATTGATGCTCTGGTGTTTGAAGTGGTCATGGCATGCAGCATATTGATAGCCTAAATGGTCTTGTACTTGCTAAAATACTATGTATAAATAATGTTATAAATACGTGCTTCACTTGTCCCTCTTATTGTCCACAGTTATTAATTGCATTGTGGTAGCGCACACTGCTATTGTGGTGACCCACTGCTCTAGGCATTAAAAGGAAAAACAAAAAGGCAGTCCTTGCCCCAAAGAGGATACTATCAATACCCATATATATTTTCATCCCGCACCAGACTAATGTTCTCTCTGTTTTTCTGTTGCAAATTACTTTATATCATAAATGCAGAATCACAAAATTACAATTATTAATAATGCCATAGGATGCTATGGAATTTAACCTCATCTTGATGTCAGATTGCTCTATCCAAAAAGGATATAGTGGTACTGGAAATGGTTCAGAAATAGGCAACAATGACCAGATGCCCTCTTCTTTACACTTGCCTTGAAATTCTGCTACTGGTCACTGTCAGAGCCAGAATATTGGACTAGATGGACTATTGGTCTAACATCTCGCAGTTCTTATGTTTGTATCATCATCATAGGAATCAGATTCATAGAGTCATAGGGATTATTATGTTCATCAAGTTCAATGGTTCTCAACTAGGGTGTGAAAGGTTAACTGGTTAGCCTCACTCTTAACAGTTGGGCCTTACCAATAATGGTTAACTGGTGGAGACTAAAGCAGCCCCCCACCTACTGCAGGCAGCGGTCTGCTACAGCCTCACAGGGCTGCTGGGGAGGCACACTAGCCCAACCAGAGCAGCTCCCGCGGAGAGCCCCGCCCCCAGCCTGCCACTATTTAGTCAGTTAACCACTTAAACAAAGTTTAACCAGTTAACTAATTAAACAAGGATTTTACATCCCTATTCTCAACCAGGAGTTTGGGGGGGTCCACCAAGCAAGGCGAGCATTACATTCTCTGAGCCCAGGGCAGAAAGAATTACACTCCTTGGGTATAAAGCCGAAGCCTGAACACTGCAGCTTTGCGGGCACTCTCATGGCATGAGGATGCAGGCAGTTGCCCTGCTTGCTGCCCATTCATACCAGCACTGGCTTTTATATGCAGGACACCAGGTGGGCCATGTGGAATTTGTATAGCATGTTGAGGGGGCCTCTGAAAGAAAAAGGTTGAGAACCCCTGATCTAGTCCAACCCCCTGCACAACACAAGCTAAAGAGTCTCACCAGTAAAATCTGCCTCAAGTTTAGCATATCATAAGCTTCCATCACAAGGACCTAGGGGGCCACTCGCCACATGACCTCCTCCAGCCTGGAGAAGGACCAGGACAATCTCCTTCCACTCCAGGCCCCACCTCTTCCTGCCCCTGTTCTGCCCCCATCACTGTCTGGCACCGGGAGTACCAATCCCATCTCCTGCATTCACCAGAAGTGGCGGAGGAAGCACAGCAAGGCAGCCCCAGCTCATTTGGATCCCCTGTCCGTGTTGCAGAGTGCGGTGATTGCCGGGCGGTCCCCTTTCTTTCCCCAAGTGACGTTGGCCATGTGACCAGGAGAGCAGAGTGAGCTGAGGACATGTTGCTCCGCTGCTGGTGTTGAATGCAGGGGGGACTGACTCCTGCTACAGGTACCAGGCCTTCTGATAGTCCCCCTGGACATCCAGGGACTTTCACCCTGCCAATTGCCGGTTGCCCCCTTCCCCCTCCCACCCACAGTGGTGCATGTCCTCCCTTGTGTCATCCCTTTCCATCACTATCATTTATTATGACCCTTTGGCGACGGCCACTCTGCCACTTTTTTTGATCCTTTGGTTGGAAGAGGCTTTTCTGACATCTGGCCTGTCTAGACTGGGCCAAATGTCGGGAAAAAACCCTCTTTTGGAAGCCCCCTCATTCCTCATGGAACGAGGAATACAGGGGCTTCCAAAAGAGCGCATTTGCTCTTCCAGAGAAAAAAGAGGAAGAGCAAACGCATCCCTGGATGCGGAAGAGTTTTTCCGGGATACTGGAGGTATCCCGGAAAAACTCTTGTAGTCTAGCTGTACCTTTTGGTTGCACATCATGTTCTTCATTTGGATCTGCTCAGGTTAGGAGATTTTCACATTTCTCTTTGCCTATGCAATGC